GGCGCTCATCATCAGCGGCCTTTATCTCATTTGCTGCATAGTACTTCTGATTGGATCTCTGCTGGTGGGTATTTAAATGATATGGAAGATCTTTGAGTTATCTTTCTTATTTTGCAGTCATTACGTTTTCTGCTGTTGCCTTATATATTTGTTGCCCTGTCACATGTCATCGTTTTGGTATGGGAATGCGTTTATGTCATCATGGTGGAGGCCTTCTATGACTATGTATTATTTGATATTTTTCAAGCAGGTGAACAGGTGTATATAATATCTAAACAAATTTTATATACATTATTATTATTCCCTCTAGTGCTCAGCTTGTACTTTTGCCTGGTTGTCTACTCCTATTACGATACTTTATAGAGCTGTACAAGACTTTTTATATATATAACTATATTTTTTTAAAGATCTTTAGTTGTAATATTTAAGAAAGTAATATTTTATCTATAAAATATTTTAAAATTGTTAAAATAAAATTTCCATTCGGATTTAAGATTAATAAATATCCAAAAATTTTAGCAAATCGGAAACTAAAAGAAACTTGAATCAATAACTTAAAGGAGAAGCTGAAAAATAAACTAAAATGTTGAAGAAAAAAAGTACTTCTATAGAATAAAAAATTCTAGGAAAAATAGGAAAATTGTATTCCAAAAAGGTAAAAAAAACCAAAATGTAGAAGAAAAAACTACTAAAAAAATAAAATTAACTGAAAAACTACTTTCATATAAGAAGAAATAAGAAGAAAAAATTCTAGATGCGTATTCCAAGCTCAAAGAAAATTAAATTTAGAAGAAAAAAATACTTCTATAGAAAAAAAAAACACTACTTCTATACACTTCTTCTACATCTTCTCTATACAAGAAATAAGAAATAATTCCAGCAATAGAAAGAAATTTTGCAACTAGGCCTGTGCCAGAATCTCGACAAGCTCAATAAATCTGAAATTTAGAAGAAAAGAACTACTTCTATAGAAGAAAAATCGACTTCTATAAAAGCAGAAGAAATAAAAAGAAAACTTCTATACAAGAAGCAAAAAGAAGTATAAAAAAATTCAAAGAATAGAAAAAACCTTGCAACAAGGCCTGGCCAGGATCTACCTATATCAATTCTTATGTGTACGCTTAAATGCGAACAGTTCCCCAAGTGTGACCATCTTAATAAGGACACCATCTCTATATAGATATATCTTCAAGATTCCTTCGTTTAATATCAAGAAACTCAACTTGAACGTTGCGATTACATATAAATAATATTTACACATGGTTTGTATGAGTCTTAGTATGGGGGCGGAGCCCTATCTTCAGAACTGCTCCAAGGTGCGTGGTGCAGGCGGTGCACCGTATTCATCGGCGGGTGGTCCATATTGGGTGGCGGGCTTTGGCTGCTGTTTGTATTTGATGAAGTACACCTCCGGCTTGCTGGGCTCCGTGGGTGCCGGCGATGGCAGTATGACGGGCAATTGCTCCTCCGGTTTCTTGACCAGCACATAGACCAATGTCTTGTGCTCATCCTGCACCGGCGGCGGCAGCACCTGGCGCACTGGCGTCGGTGGATTCGGTGCCTTGATGAAGATGATCTTGTAGTGTTTCTTGGGCACCGCTGTTTGTATGGGCGATGCGGCTGGATACAGTTCCGGCTCCTCTGGCGGCACATGCACGTACACATTCTTGGTGACAATCGCCTCGGCGGCGGGCGCAGCGGGTGGGCCATAGAACTCGGCGGGCGGTCCATAAGCGGGCAACGGCTGTGCCGGCGGCGGTGGTCCATATTCCTTTTGTGGTGCCGAAAGCGGCGGTGGTGGTGCGCCGTACCGTGTCCTCGGCGGCTCCGGGCGTGCCACGGTGATGGCCACATGGGCCGCCAGGACGAAAAGCAGCGCTACTTGTGTTTTCATTGTTAAATCTCAGTTCGACGGTTCACACTCGAATGATTCGATTGTGCCAGGTCATTGCGGCATTATATATGAACGGTCCGCATCAATTTTGTTGCTTTTCATTTTAATTTTGATCCAAGCTCGTGTTTGTATAACCCCCCTGTCGGCCCAGAGGGGCACGGTCTGCCCTCTTTGCATAATATTTCTGATGGCTTCCCAATCCAATCGTTACGGAGGCGTCGCCGTCGCCGTCTCCGTCGTCATCGCCGTTGCCCACTTCGCATACAAATGAGTCCGAATTGTTGGCGCATCTTGTGCCCAATTTCGTTTTCGATATTTCAATACTGAAAACGAAATTGCAAACACAAACAGTCGGCGCCTGCCCCGCCCTGCCCCACCGCCTGCCCCGATGCAGTATGTCATCGAGCGCTGTTTGGGGCCGGGCACGTTCTGTGCCTTTCCTGGACTTCCCGGCCCTTTTTTTTTTATATATACTTTAGACGCTATTTGCCAAAAACCATTAAAACTCGATTGCGTTGTGTACAGTTGTTATTTATGATATAACACCCGGCCAGGTAATGCTCGAAAATACCGCTGCTAGGCCATGGACGGTCATTGCAACCGATTTTCAGACAGCCATACGTTATGTTGATCAATTTTTTTTATTATATTTTTATTTTTGTTGAGGCCTACGCTGAAATATGCTTCATATAGTACAGGGTGTTTCTTTAAAAGCTGACGTGGTCGGGTATTGCTCTGGGTTGGTTCTAGTATTATAACAATAATTATAAGTATTATAATTACAATTATTATTCGTATTCTTATATTATTGTTATTACCATTATTGTAATAACTATTATTATTATTATTGTTATTATTATTATTATTATTATTATTATTATTATTATTATTATTATTATTATTATTATTATTATTTTTAATATTATTTTTTTATTATTATTATTATTAATATTATTATTATAATTATTATTATTATTGATTTTAATATTATTTTTTTATTATTATTATTATTATTAATATTATTATAAATATTATTATTATTATTATTATTGGTATTAATAGTATTAATATTAACATTATGATTATGATTATCATTATTATGATTATTAATTATAAATAATATAGGTATTATTGTTATTATTAGTTTAATTATTATTATTATTATTAATATTATTATTATTTAAATTAGAATTATTACTTTTAGTATTATTATTATTATTATTACTCTTATAATTATTATTATTATTATTAATAGTAGTATTATTCTTATAATTAATATAATTATTAATAATTTTATTGTTTTTATTATTAGTTTTAATAGTATAATTATTTGTTTTTATATTAGGCATGGTTTGTTCTAGATTCTATCTTGTGATACGCAGCAGGATCCCCATTTAAGATAGGATTCCGAATTTTTGTTAATTTATGAGGAATGTGTCGCATTCCATTAAATATGTATAAAAAGACATTTTGTATTTATTTTAATTATATTATATGTATTATTATCAAAGCCGATAGATTAAACACACGAACATTTAATTAATAATCGTAATAATCTTTTGTTCTTGTCAAAGCTAATAAGAAATTAAAATTGACTTTAAGATGGTTGTACCGTATTTAAATTTTTGCTATCTAATTCGCCTGTCAAAATGTATCATGCATTTTAACTACTTGTTGAATATTTGATATGCAGTTTTGTCATCTGAAATACTCAATTTGAACTGCATGATAATTTACTCTAACAAAACCATAAGTCTTGAGAGTATATTTCAGCTCAATTGTAACCAATCCTAGTATATAAAATGCAAAAAATATATATAGTGTATTTAATCAAGAGCATGGGTAAATTATAAGCAATGTAACTACTTGTCAATTTAAAATTAGCATTAAATTGCATCCTTTGTTAGCCAAGACCTAATTTATTGACTACTCAACAAATTTTACTTATAACATAGACATAAAAATATGGTAGCCCAAATATATATATATAAAAAAAGCGCCAGTTAACTGCTTGTTAAAATTAATAGCAAATCAAACCATTTGGAAAAGAATTTTGTAATTTATTATTTACATCTTTATTTCTACTCTTCTAGCAACTTTTATCAAAATGAGAATTGGGAACAGAAGCAGCCTTTGCTTATTTCCAAAATCGAAACACACACATTCAACCGACTTTCTGTGTCCTGTCAAATTTATGTTAAATCCATACAGTCAGTAGTTAATAGGTTTTTACGAAAATTATATACACACTTTATACACACAGACGAGAAACGCGCTGTAAAGCCAAATACAATAGCCAAAATTAGCATAGGTCCAAGACGTGTGGATAACAATTGAAACGCTAAGCGAAAGCAGATTATTGGATGCAACAAGATGATCTATTTGCAATATTGTTGTTTCTGCATTGATTTGCGCATTGGCACGTTTATCATTGCCATCTCAGATATAATAATGGATTTAGTTTTTGGATTTTTCATAGCTATATTTGGCGAATCGGGTGAGTTGTATCAAGATGCAGCCAATCAATTAGATGTGTCTATATGTATATATGTTAACAGGTGCACCCGATCTGTGCCACAAGCTGTTCATTACATTTATGTTGATACATCTGATCAGCGCCGTCTTACTCTTGATTGGCGCTTTAAAGGTGAGTGCTTAGCTTTAGCTGATCAACTATGTATATATATTGTGGCACTACTTCCAGCTACGTCCGGCCTGTATGCTGTTCTATATATTACTCACTGTGATCAAGGTATTATCTATGATCATTCTAATAATAGCGGACTTAATACTGCAAATCTGGATTCCAGTTATAGCACTCTATGTGGTAATGTTTGGTAAGCATATATCTCGTTGCATCTATATCTATATATGTACATATATATTGTCTATATAGTTCTTGGCATATATTACTGGCTGGTCGTCTATTCGTTTTACGCTGCACTCGGTGGCAGCTTGTTTATCTGAGTTGCCCGCAACTGCCAGTAGAGTTCGTTGTGATCAAATTCTAATCTGTGTGACAACTATTGTGCCTTGCCTTAACAATCATGACAAATATACGCAAAATACATAAATCCAAAAAAATACAATAAATAAGAGATAATAAATTTATATGTGTTATTAATTAATAGAAACTATACAGCTGGGCAATGGGAATCCTTCTAAAGAAGTTTTGCTGTTTGATTAGTTTGCGTCGTGGCTGTTTTGTCATTGCCTGCGTCGATCTTATATTTAATATGGCTCTTATCATTTTTACTAATGGTAATATCGTACATTCATTAACTTGTATACTAGATCAGCAATACATCTTGATTGTACCCAGACAAAATTATCACACACATTGAACGCGCTATGGCCATTTGCCACTGCATCGGATGCGGCATGCTGCTAATCGGAGCTTTAGTTGTAAGTTGTAACTTAACAGCTGGTTGTAAACCATGGATTGTTTTTTTTTTTATGCACCAACAGCAATCGACGGTTCTTTTGGTATTTTATTTAATCACCAGCCTGGTAAATGTAGCTATCCATACGTGCATCATCGTAATGGCGTCCATTGAATTTGAGCCGAAGCACCTGATTGTAATTATTCCGGGAACCTTTTTAGTATGTAAGTGTCAAATGTTATCATTGTCAAATATCTCTTATCATTTATATGATTTCAGGCCTAAACTTGTATAGTTGGCTCGTTGTCTACTCATATTTTCGGAAAATTGACGCTGCCTATGAGGAACCCGAATGAGCAAGTTATAAAATCTTCAAACTTTTTTATATATTTTCAATGCTTTACTTAAAAGTAGAAAAAAAGTTTGAGGATTTTATACTTGATGCACACAAATATATATTTTATAAGAAATAAAAACATAATAGACGCCAAATATACGATATAGTAAGAGGGAAGAAGCTATATTTGTTTCAAGTCTTTTGATCAGTTTGCTTACTTGACTAGAGGTTTAATTGGTTTTGTTTTTATTTAAATTGGCAGCACTAATCATATCTTAGGGGCTGCCAAATGGCAGCACCAAATTTAATTTTTCCCTATGTAAACAAAATGCATTGCCAGGTGGCAGCACTAGAAGATTTCTTGAACTTTGTGTGTTCAAAAGTCAACGGTGCTGCCAAATGTTACAGGACATGTATTTTTCCTGGTGCTGCCAAATGGCAATACAGAACATGCACTTTGTTTCTCTGCTGGGAAGCACTGCAATTCTATTTAGTCAATTAGCTTTTACAGTCAGATTAGATAACTAAACGGATAGATAAAAGAAATAGGAGTTTGTACATTTTGAAGTACATTTTAACTTTGACAGGAACATGATTAAGCAGCATATTAAATATCTTAACTATTTGTGTTTTTTGTGCAGATCTGAATTGAAAGGTAAATTGTATAAATGAATATATAGTATTTATACATAATTGGAATACAGTCTCTATCACTTATTGGCTCTTACGTATGGCTATATCTTAGATGTTAATCGCAAGGCAAGCAGCTTAAACATAATCTCCAAAAGCATATTTGGTGGTCATTGTACTGGTTACTGACGGCACTTGGGCATCACTGTAATACAAAATTTGTTCGAGTACACAAGAGAGGAGTATCACAAACTCAACAAGACTCACCTGGTATAGCTCTTCACCAAACGTATCACATCTTTCATATTGGTTTCAATGTCAACTTCCGGCTTTGAGCTTAGAGTATCGCATAGAGACTGAATAAAGGGCGTACCAGTGTTAAGGCGATAGGAGAGGTAGCCCTCGTAGGTGCTGTAGCACTTTAAAATCTCGCTGGGACTACCATGAGGCTGTTTTTGAAAAGTGTTAGATGAGTAAGATGTGTAGCACAATCGAAACACAAGATTCTTTCACCTGCATTGCATCAGTCTTGAACTCGCCCGGCTTCATGTAACCTTTGCAGGCCTGCACGAAAAGTATCTTCGGCTTCTCGTGCAGCGTGCGATTGCGCAATATGGGAAAGATGACATCGTCGTCTATTTTGATTTCGCCATCCTTGACGGCTACCGACTCATTCCGTTGGCCATGACTCAATATGACCAGAACCAGCGCTGAACGATCCTCCATGTTTTTCTGTTCCACTGCAAAATGAATAATGTATCAGATTGTGTCCGTGAAAAAATGGGTGAAAATTGTCGTATAAGACTTATAAAAGTATTCGTCTTCGACAGGCGGAAAATCAGTAGCATAAATTATAACAAAAAAAAAATGTTTCATCGTCTTCATATTGATTTCAATATATCTATGTGAAAATTATTTTGTATTCGTGCTTCGGTGAATTTTAAAAATCCACACACAGAATATGGGTTAAAAACTGTTGCATATAGATTTTAAAGGAACACAATTAAAAGATTAATAGGAAAATCTATTGGAAATGTGAAGGACCGATTTTACAAACAGAAATTCACAAGGGCAAGCGAGAAAAATGTGAAAAATTGCCATTGGAGGCAACATCAATTAAATATCAATTATAATTTATATAAAAAACTTGGACTCACATTTGCGGACTGTATTCTTGAGCTCACTGAGCGTTGCATCCGTGATGATTTGCACCTTGCACTTGAGCGCCCTAAAGGTTTTATCCAACGATTTAACATCTTCGGAGCTACCCAAACGGAACTCATTATTTGGATTGTTGAATTTCTCTTGATTGAAGATGACAACTACAGCTGGCTTCAGTTTCTTCTTGATAACCGGCTTGAGTTTGGGTATTGTAATATTCTGTGATACTGTTGGCTTGAGCTCACATTTTGCATCGCTGTTGGTAATGCTTGGATAACGTTTGGGCACCGCACCGTTGCTCGGATTAAGGCTAATAAACGGTTTCACCACAGTTGTCTTTGGGGTCGACAGTATTGGCTTTGTAGCAAAGGTTGTGCTGGGAATGGAGGAGCGCCCAGATGAGCTGACCGTTGGCTTGGACAGAACAGATTGGCTGGCCGTTGGCTTCGACAGCACAGAGCTAGTGATGCTGCTCGTCTTGGAGGCATAGGGCGATACATAGCTGGAATCGATTGGTTTTAGCGCAAATGGCGACACATATGGCTTGTATGAAGACGTGCCTGAGCTGCCCGTTGAGGTAGTTGTTGTGGTAGTCGATTTTGGCGGCCAACTGGTCTTGCTGGGATTCAGAACCACCCGTTTGGATTCCACATGCTGTGTCACAGTGCGTCCCTGCTTCTGTGACATGGTCGTCTGCTCCAGCTTGACCAATGTGCTGGAGCGCCTAGCCTCCGCATTGGGCTTGAACGAGGTGGTCGAACGCAGTGCCACACCATTCAGGCTGGATGGACTCAAACGCTTGCTGCTTGTTGTTGTTGTTGTTGTGGTGCTGCCAGCTTTGCCGGCGTTTATATGCAGCTGCGCCAGGAGCTCGTCCAGCTCGGCCTGGCTTGGTGTGCGACGCGTTGTTATTTCCGTAACATGCGCCCGCTGGCTATGCGTCACCGTCTGACGCGTGGACCGATATGTTACCGTATTTTTGTTGTTATCTATTATCGTTGAATTCTGCACGGCCGTATTTGTCGTTAGGGTGGCAGCGCTTGTTGTGTGCACCCGTGTGCGTGGATCCTGCAGCGCCAGCGCTCGATCGGCGCTGACGCCTTCGTCGGTGGATTTCTTTTTGCTCCACCAGCTCATTGTCTTTTGTTCGCTTGCGCACTCGATTGCTGTCTCTATGCGCGCTCCCTCTCGCTCTCGCAGTCGCTCTCAATCGCAATACGCGCGCAGCGTTGCGCTCACTTCAGCGTTTCGAAAGACACTAGTTGGCGACAAAGCTTTTCGCTCCGATAAGGCGAATTTTCGTTCGTTAAGTTAAGTTATTCGCTCTTGCTCGCTCTTGCTCGCTCTTGCTCGCTCTTGTGTGGGAGCGCGGCCAAAAGGTGGATCGCTGCGGGGAGAGAGAGAGAGAGTGTGCTGAAAAACCCCTCTGCAACTACACTCCTTTTCGATTATTACTCATACGCCGAGCGTACACATGCAGAGCAACGGCTTATCTACACAAGAGCAATACAAATCTCCGTACCTGTGGGTAAGCCCCCGTCTCACTGACCCAGGCCCTAAAATGTATGTTAACATACATATAAGAACTTTCTTGAACAATCAAAAACTACATATAAATATATATGTATATACATGAACTAGCGGGTATAACCCGGCCTTGCCCGTGGCACGTATGTTATAAAATCAAAGTTTTCTAAAAGCTTTGAAAATGATTTTGAAACTGATCGGACGGGAATCAAACAAACTTAAAATTCACCAAAAAAAACTTTGAAATGCATTTTCCACCGAAGGAGTTTAGATTTTGCGAGAAATGTGAAACACGTCTCTAATGATTTTTCTTATAGATCTTTGGAAATAAATTTGAACACAAAACGTCATCCACCAAATCTTCGACCCCCATTTGCACCAAGGAGGGATGGATTTTTCAAAAAGTGTGAAACACCCCTCAAATGAATTTGAATATAGATCTTTGAAAATTAGTTTGGGGCCGATCGGATGGTAAACAAAAAATTTTCATACAACCGTTTTCCGCCAATTTACCACTGTTGCGGGTGGAATTTTCCAAAGCGTCGAAATACGTATTCAACTTAAAACTTCGCACAAAAAATCTTTAAATCGCATTCCCCACGAAGAAGTTCGAATTCTGCGAAAAGTGTGAAACACGTCTCAAATGATTTTTCTAATAGATCTCTGGAAATGAATTTGAGTGCGAAACGTCACCCACCAAATCTTTGACCTCCATTTCCACCAAGGAGGAATAGATTTTTCAAAAAGTGTGACACACCCCTTAAATGAATTTTAGCATAGATCCTTAAATATGAATTTGGGGCCGATCGGATGATAAACAAAAAACTTTCATACAACCTTTTTCCGCCAATTTACCACTGTTGCGGGTGAAATTTTCCAAATCGCTGAAATACGTATTTATTAAGTTCTTATGTAGAGCTTTGAAAATAAGTTTGAAGCAAATCGGACACGACTTAAAACTTCGCCCAAAAAATCTTTAAATCGCATTCCCCCCGAAGAAGTTTGAATTCTGCGAAAAGTGAGAAACACGTCTCAAATGATTTTTCATATAGATCACTGGAAATGAATTTGAGCGCGAAACGTCACCCACCAAATCTTTGGCCTCCATTTCCACCAAGGAGGAATGGGTTTTCCGAAAAGTGCGAAACACCCCTCAAATGAATTTGAACAAAGATCTTTGAAAATAAGTTTGGGGCCGATCGGATCGTAAACAAAAAAGTTACATACAAACGTTTTTCGCGATTTTTCCACACTTGCGAGTGGAGTTTCCCGAAACCCCGTCTTAACGTGCACCTACATCACATAAGGTATCTACAGTGAAAATTTCAGCTTCCTAGCTCTTACGGTTTGGGCTGTGCGTTGATCACCAGTCAGTCAGTCAGTCAGTCAGTCAGTCAGTCAGGACAAACAGTTTTATATATAGAGATAAAGAAAATCAGTTTTTCTGTGACCCGGTTATGAAAACGAATGCAAATATCGAAAACAAAAAATGACCTTATATCAATTTACTTGTGTATATATCAATCATTAGAGTCGTACCCGCTTTAATTAATTGCATGGCAAACATTTGTATGTATGAATGTAATGAATGTATAAAAACACAGTCAGCTGGCTTATCAACCACTTTCCGGGTTCTATGTACACAATATTGCTGTAGAAAAAACTAACAAAAAAAAACGTTAAGTTCACTGAACACTAGAAAATTCTGACTTTCGGGAAAATAACTTCCGTGCTATTTTTGTTTTACATATACATACATAAGTATGTAAACTTAGAGAGATTATACATTTTGATGCCTTGCCTAGAAAATATACATTTTTGTTAGGGAAAAACTTCCAAAAATTCAATAATTTGCAAGTAAGCATCACTTCATTTCATGCGAGTTCTTTCTCACGTACTTATTTTAGCAATTTAGACGGTCGTATTTGCACTTGAATTTGATTTGTACGGTTATACTTAAAATTTTAAGCCCAAAGCGGTCCAAATGCAAGACAACAAAGTAATGTAATGCATATGTAGGTAGTTTTTATCAATAATTATTGCTCATAATCAAAACAAAAAATGCATGACAAAGCGCTAAAGTACCTTCCGATGAGTTTTCAATCACCTGAACTATAAATCCGTATCTATTTCAATTCGGCTCATACGTTGAACTTCGTATTGGAAGATCGTGGCTAAAATATTTAAACGCGCGGTTAAAAAATATATTAACTTAGAGCTGTGGCAAGTTTGCTTTTGTTTAAAGTTGATTTTACACTGAATGCTCATTTTTTCTGCAATAAAGCCCAATTTCCAAGAACTTCCAATAAAAAAAGATCAAAAGCACAAATAAACAAATCAAAATGCCGCTTAGCAGCTTTAAGCTCTTCATCGGCGCTCTTAAGTTGCGCTCTCTGCTGTGCGCCGCGCTCTTAGATGTTTTATTGATTTTCAGTAGCGCAGCGTCACAATATGCACTCAAAACAGAAACAGAACATAAACTCAAATACAAATACTAATACAAAAGAAAGCTCCCTGCTGTACTGTAATGTTTGTGAACGTTTTTGAAATTTCAGTGCTTTGGCAAACGTAGAATCGTGCGGTGAGTTGGCAACAATTGTGCCGTTAACAGCAACATACGGCGCGAAAATTAAAGCAACAACAGCTGACAAGTGTAAAAAGGAATATTGTGTGGCAACAACAGTGAGAAATTAGGGGCCTTTTTTGCAAGTTGCACAAATGATTATCGAATACAGTTGCTGATAAGATAAGTTGCCAATTGATTTGCATTACAGCCGGCTTATCATCCGGCTAATGCTAGACGTGCAGATAACCTTTAAAATTATCCAAGGCCAATTTTAATTTAACAAGCTGCCAAAGTTCCCATAAATCCCATGAATTAGAAATGTGCTGAAATTGCAAAAAAACGACGAATCGTAAATACAAAAGAAATAAATTGGAAACCTTGTTTTTGGACTTGAATGCAAAAAAACACTATATTGATTTACTGATGATTTTCAGTTGTAAATATTGTCTAACTGGAATTGCGTTCAAGATAGCGTCAATCAGCAGCTATTATTAATGGTGCTGTGAAACGTTTAAAACCCAACTGACGCATACTTACAATCTGGCACTGTAGCAACATGCAACAATTTGCATCAATTGGCAACGATTGCATGCGCCTTAACAGACATGCAACTTAACTAGCAGAGATCCAGTCTGGATCTTCGATCAAATAATTGATCTGGCGCCAAAGAAATTTCATCATTAATATTATTTAAAATGTTTGCATTAATATAATATATATATACTGAATTCATATTTTATATATTATATTAACACCAACAGTTTTGTTTTTTGGGTGTATAGTTATCAATTGATAACATTAATATTGTTAAATTGAAGCGTCTTCAACTGGTATCTCCCATATCTGGATCTTTTAACAGTTAGTAAGTATATTAAACTGTGTAGTTTTGATGCTTTAAACATGTTTTTAACACAAATAATTAGTGACTGGTTAAAGCAAACACGCAGGAATCTATATAATCTATGTACATACATACATATATACGATACAGATGACTTCGAATCTTTTCAAATTTTGTGCAAGGGTATACATATAAAAGAAAGCGGAGTTAAAAATAACCAAAACTAAAAAGGGACTCGAAAATAATTGAACTTACTATGAAAATTATTATTATTACATATTAATATCGGGTATTTCCAACACTCACACAGAACAAAGAGAGACAAGAGTTTACAAACTGACATTGAGTAAAAAGTAATTACTCAACAATAAACTCAAAAGAGATCGTGTGCCGGTGTTCAGTTGGAGATTAATGGTCTCTCTTCCTCTCTCTTTGTTGCTTATAACGGACAGCTAGTGTCTTGAAATCAGTGCATTTGTGCTGTTGCACTTCATTAAATAATTTCACACACGCGTAGGTGTCGACTCGTTCTTACCAAAACGTGCTCCTAATGTTATCTTATCTTATACATTGATTGTTCATTCAAGAGTGCAACAAACGCGCACGTGGAAGGCAGATCATAGGAAATTTTCGCGTAGGTGGCAGCGCTACGGCCATTTTGAAAAGAAAATAACAATTACTGCCCAATAATGGCTGCACCAGCCGCTACCATGGACTTTGATGAGATACTTAAACAAATTGGCGAATTCGGACGATACCAGAGACTAAACTATTTACTCATTTGCCTGCCGGTGCTCTTCGCGGCGGCCAACAGTCTGTCGTATGTGTTTACCGCCGGCACACCAAAATATCGCTGCCACATCGAAGAATGTGACGTAGACGGGCAGCCTCATTACCAGACCGATTGGCTAGAGGTTGCCATCCCGGGCACACGGGACAAACATGGCTACTTTACGCCAAGCGATGCGTGTTTGCGATATGCGGCAAATGAGAGCCATGTGCAACAATGGGACATGTCGCTAACTTGCAACGCCTCGCTGTTTTTGCCACAACAGCCGCAACGCTGTCGGGAGTTTGTTTACGAGATTGGGGAGCAAACCATTGTGCAGGATTGGCAGCTCACGTGCAAGGAGAATGCCTGGAAACTAGCTTTTGTAGGCACCACACACTTTGCCGGACTGGTGGTGGGCACTGCGCTCTTTGGTTATCTGGCCGATCGGTGAGTAATGGGCGAATATTTGTTTGACGATTAGTTAAAACAGTTGTTTTAATGCGCGCGAAATAAAAACACATTTACGACTATATGGCAACATTAAAACAGCTTTTGAATGCACATAAATTATCGATAACTGGCATTA